CCCCAAAACCCCAAAACCCCAAAACCCCAAAACCCCAATACATTTAAATTTAACTGAATTTTAAATTAAGAAAAATGGACAAGTCTGACCATAATATGAGTTTTAATGATAATTCCGAGCAAGAAAGAAAGCAAGATAAGCAATCTAAAAAGATAGAGTATACAGAGATATATGCATGGGGTGGTAAGTCTTTAAAAATACTTAACTTTTTGATATTTTTTGTTATTCCCTTTTAACGCTTACCAATTTAGACGATGAAATGGGACAGCTAGGAGTTGGGGGAACAAATAACACTAAGACCGAAGATCCGAATCTCAGAAAGGTTTGCACAATTCCCAAAATATGCTCGTTTAATATAAAGATATTAAAAATTGCTTGAGGGTTTAACCACTCAGCACTTTTATCGTATTCTGGCTACCTTTATACAATGGGAAGCAATGAATATGGCAAGCTTGGAGTTGGCCTAGATAAGGTCCAGAAGAAGAACATCCCATGTCTAGTTCATGACCTCCAGGATATGTTCATCACTCATATCTCCTGTGGGTGGTATCATACTGCAGCAGTTTCGGAAGAAGGAAAATTGTATTCCTGGGGAAGAGGTATTTTAGACACATCTTAAGCTTTAGGTAAACTAGGAGTTCTAGGACTTGGAGACGACTCAAACCATCCAGTTCCTCAAGAATGAGATTACTTAGTACAAAAGGAAGAAAGAATTACTTCTGTTTCTAGTGGAATGTGTCATATGGGAGCAATCACAAGTTCTGGAAAACTCTATCTTTGGGGTTGCAATAAGTATGGACAACTTGGAAATCCAAAGGTCAAAACAAATTCATCAATCCCAACACAAGAATGTTCAAAGGAAAAGTTTGCAGAGCTAGCTTGTGGGCTAACACATACTCTTGCTTTGACAAAGGAAGGGTATGTTTATGCAGCAGGAGATAATGACGAAGGGCAATGTGGTGTAGGAAAAGATGAGGAGATTATTCACAAATTCGAGTCAGTCGATGTTCTTGGAGAACATCATGTGACCAAGATTATTGCTGGATGTCACTCAGCAGCCATCACATCAGAGGAGCATATTTACGTTTGGGGAACTTCAACTTTTGGACAATTTCAATCTCCTGAAAGATCTGTCTCCCTTACTTCAGTTGTCAATGCAAGTATCGGTAGAAGTTCTGGTGCTTGAGTTGATAGAGATGGCAAAGTCTGGACCTGGGGGTATAATGAACAGGCTCAGCTTGGCCTTGTTGACACAGAACCAAGATGCATCCCCACTCTTGTAAAGCCAATCAAGAAGAAACATGTGTATGCTGTTGCTGTTGGAGCAGGCCATGTCATCGCCATCGGTGAAAACAAAATACAAGGCAGCTCTGACACAACCACCAAGAAAGTCAAGTCAACTGAGGAGTCGAAGAGTCACAGCGAAATCAGCAGAGAACAAGTACCAAATGTTTTCAATGCAAACAGAGGTGATGCTGACAACAAAGATGACTTGGTCGACCAGATCTCAGACGCAGCTCAGAAGTTGTTGAATGATCCCAACAGTTACTACTATCACCTCAAGAAAGATGAGAAAGCCAATGTAGAAGATATGCTCGAAACTGGTAACAGCAAAGCAGGAGAGTTCTCTGGCAATGCAAGCGCCATCAACATCACCAACCAAGCCAGTCAAGCTAAAAGAGCGCCAATTGAGCCGTATCCTCGGTCAAACAACCCAACAATCAAGAAGAGCTCCATTTCAAGAACGAAGTCGCCCAATGAGTCACCTGACCTCAGAAACCACAACATTGCGAATGCAAACTTGGCTGACAAGGACCCAGCCAGAGACATCGACAAATACGAAAATGTTGCTGAGAAAAGACAGAAACTGTTTGATGCTAAGCCCCAGATGAAAAAGAAGAAGATCGACCCGCCTCAAGTCAAGCTGCCTCCGGCTCCGAAGTATGTGCCTCTGCCATGTTTGGAGTGCAAGAACATCGGCTCTGTGTGCGAGTCTCTGGGCATCTCCAAAATTGAAGAAGCCATCAAGCTTGTCAGCGACATCAAACAAGGTATTTGTTGCTTAATTTGTAGAAAACCTGCTCTGAAAGCTCCGAGAAGAAAACTCCAGACTCCAGCAAGAAGCTCGAAACTGGAAACACAAAATGGAAGACAGAGAGTATGAGCTGATGCTTGAGAACCAGAAACTCAAGCTTGAAAACAGCGACTTGATCAACAGCAAAGAAAGACAGAGAAAGACATTCTCAGACACCGAAATCAGAGTCAAGAAGTACCAGGACGATCTCCAGGAATGCAGAGAACAAAACTCTAAACTTAAGGCTGAACTTGTTCAAGCCAAGAAACAACAAGAGTCCGCTGTGGTAGGCCTTGAGAAAGAACTCAGCACTCTCAAGCTGAAGTATGCTGACATGAAACAAGAAAATGAAAAGTTCAGGTCTTTCATGACCGAAAGAACTCAGAGTCACATTGATGCAAACGAAGACTATCTGCAAAGCTCTGTAGCCAGAGATGAAGCTCGCAAACAAAGAGTCTCAAGATTGCTTGACTACAAAGCCCATGATAGAGATGGTGAAGGAGACACTTCTGAATCAAACTTCAACCCGACTGATGACATGACTCCAGCTGACACTCCTTCAAGGGCTCTGAACCCATCAACTGGTGATGAAGCATTCTTGCAGTCGAACAAAAGAAACTTCGCTAGGAACTACGTCATTGAAGAAAAAGAAAACTCTGCAGACGACTCTTCGGCTGGTGACAATGACAGACAAGTTTATGGAGGTTTCAAGGAAAACGAAAGCGACTCTACCAGCGTGTATATGGAAGACGCTGGAGACTACAACCAGAGAATAGTACAGTCGATCGAGAGAAGAATCGGAGGTAAGCAATCATCATAATACATAGGTTACGAGCCAGTGTTTTGCAAGTTGGACACAAACCAAGAAGATGGTCCTACATTCCAAACTCCCCAATTAAAGTTTAGAAAGTTTGTTGACCCACCTAAGGAGGATGAAAATAATGAAAAGGTTGATTAAAATTCAATTACTACAGTTTGTTAAGGGGTTTTGGGGTTTTGGGGTTTTGGGGTTTTGGGGTTTTGGGGTTTTGGGG